GACATTCGAACCGGAGGTTTTTCAAGCGTCACACTGAACCACAGCGTGAACCGAACGAACCGCCGTGTGAACCGAACCACGGCAGTATGAACACGCTCGTAAAACACTGTTTTGCGAGTGATATGTATAACAACAACAACGACAACGACAACGACAACAGCATCAACAACAACCATGACGACGACGACAACAACAACAACAACAACAACAACACAACGACGACCACAACAGCATCAACAACAACAACGACGACGACAACAACAACAACCAACCTGAGGGCTTGCACCAGCACTTCGTCGCCGGTCCCCTTAGCGAGGGCGGCCCCTACCACGCCGTGCTGGTCCGCGAGCAGCATCAGCCTCGGGGCGCCGATCAAGAGTTGACCCAACCCCTGTCCGCGAGCACGTGCCGCGGGCAACCAAACGTCAGGACACACGCACATACACAAAGACGAGCGAGTTGTCGCAACCGGGTCTCCCTTATACCAGGATAAATGTTGCAAAGAAAAAAAAAAAAAGGAACGGAAATCTGAAATCGTCAGGCAAAGTACTTCAGTGAGCAAATACCTGGGCTATACTCAGGTTTCGGAAGAAAACGTCCATCGATACGTTGACCACTGAGCTTTGAGACAAAAAAAAAAGGCTAATCCACCGCTGAACGTCCATGCGCTTGCAAAATACGTACATGAGCACAGGACAAATCGACTATAATACATACCTCGTCACTCAGCGGTTGCGAGCGATACCACGAACAAAAACACGCTTGATCTCTCCGCTTTTCCAGTGCAGTACCTCATCGATTTCAATGTACTTCATTTGTTTTTCACGTCACCAATGCCGTCAGCACCCCCAACCTTTCACGGAGGGCTGCTGTCACAAAACAAACGAAAAAAGTGAGGAAGCAAAACCTAAGGCCACATGGTTTAAGGACCACATACCAAAGCCACCGCCGTTCGCTTCAGAGACCGCGGCTGCTGCACTACCTGAAGCGCCTTGGATCGAAGGTGAGGCCCTTTCGCCTTGGTGAAGTAGACCCGAAGCATCTCGAAAACCTCCAAGCGCGCTCCCTTGACAAAAGATAACATAACGTAACGTTTGCAGGGAGACGACATCAACAACCCCGCCGGGTATCAAACAAATCAAGAGTCAGTCGGAGAACAACACCAACGAATCGAACCGCGTTTTTCTTGCGCATATTCTAATACGGGGAGAGATAGAGGGGACGGAGGGCGTGAAGAGTTGGTCAGAGAAAAACATCTGCCGATTATATTGCCGCGTTGCATAGGTGCAAAGGTTGCCCCCTCTTCCAAGCCTTCCAAGCTCGCGCGAAAATATCGATTGACAAACGTGAGACAGAGACAAAACCAACATACGCAGACCATTGAGCCAAACAAAACAAATGCTGCTGCTGCTGCTGCTGCTGCAAATCTCACCCACCCCAAAAAAATCTGCGACCATCGTCGTACATGCCTCGCCCACAACAACAAACCTGTTAAGGGACTTGCTCCGCTAGGCCAGCCCCCCAAGGACCCCCAACGGCCAGATC